GTTATTATAAAGGTGCTATACAGAGGGGTGCAATTAAATGTCAGGTAATAAGTAGATTTCTAGGAGGTTGGTTTTATAGACAGAAAAAGGCTGAAGAAAGCAGAAACAGAAAATAGAATAAGGAATGCAGTAGGAATCATCTGCCTTTAAAGGATACTCATTTATTCAACAAACGCGTTTGGAAGGCCAGCCATCTCTGGGCAGCGCTCCATAATTCCACCAAGCCGCCACCCTCTGGCTGATACCTCAGTCTAGAGTTGGGAGAGAAGGTCGCCGTAGTAAAAAGCACAAATCTGTCATTTCTTGCCTGAGGCTGATTTTCAAGGTATGTGTGGGAGAAACTGGACTGGGGGCCTTGGCTCCTCCCTCAGTGCACGAGAGGCTTCTCGGCGGAGGCATTTGCACCGGGAATTGGGCTGGATTGTGGCCTAAGGCACACCTGCAAGACTGCACGATTTCCTGACTCTGTTTCTCTCAAGACTGAAGGTGCTTGCTAATGCTGACTGCTGATTGGAGAAGGCAATAGCCCTGGTCTGGCATTTAGTCTGTGCCATTTCTGACATAAGAGATTAGAAAGAAGCTTAACTCCTTGGCTTTAACAAGCTGAGAGCTCAGCACAAGCACACTCTGTGCACAGGGGTATAGGTTTAAAAAAGAAAAGCCATTGGGCTGGGAAGATGGCTCAGTGGTAGAGCGCTTGCCTTGCATGCCTGAGGCCCTGGGTTCGATTCCTCAGCACCACATAAGCAAAAAGAAAAAAGCCGGAAGTGGCGCTGTGGCTCAAGTGGTAGAGCACTAGCCTTGAGCTGAAGAGCTGAGGGACAGCGCCCAGGCCCAGAGTTCAGGCCCCACGACCGAACCAAAAAAAAAAAAAAAAGAAAAGCCAGGCACCAATGGCTCAGGCCTGTAATCCCAGCTATTCAGAAGAGTGAGATCCAAGGACGGAGGTTTGAAGCCATCCAAGGCAGAGACAAACTGAAGAGACTCATCACCAATTAACCACCAAAAAACTAGAATTGGAGCACTAGCTCAAGTGGTAGAGCATTAGCCTTGAGCAAAGTAGCTCAGGGACAGCATCCAGGCCCTAAATTCAAGCCCCAGTTATCAATCTCTCTCTCTCTCTCTCTCTCTCTCTCTCACATACACACACACACACACAGCCCTGCATCCTGTTTCAGATCTCTCTGAAAATTTTCAAGCAGTAAGTGGTGTGGTAGCTGCTATCAAATGGCTGGCAGGTAGACTAACAAGCAAGAAAGCAAGTTAATCTACTGTCTTCAAGAATGAGTAATGTCTGGAGTGGCCAAGGTTTTTGCAAATAGGAGAACTGCTTGCACTGGGTGTTGGTTAAATGTTTAACAACTGCTTCTCCAAAAGTAACAATCTGGCCCTGTTTTACAGTGTTTGATGATTTCTAAGTTAAACACTGGTGTGGCTCAAGGTAAAGAGGGCAGGGAGAAGGATGCACCAAACATCCTTCTCTCTCTGAGAGCCTCCTGGGCCTGGGGACTGGTTGTCTAATGGGAGCTTTTTGAAAGCCAGAGTTTTACAACCAAGGTAAGACAGAGCTGTGGCAGGTAAGCTTACCTTTCTTAAGGACAGAGCTTTGGTAAGGTAAGACACACCTTTATTACTTAAATTTCTTTGTTGTTTTTTCTTTTCTGCCTCTGGAGTCTTGAATTCCAGGCCTGGGTGATGTCTCTAAGCTCCTTTTTGCTCAAGGCTAGTGCTCTGTGATTAATTGGAGATAAAAAGTCTCAAGGCCTTTCACACCCTGGCTGCCTTTGATCAGTGATCCTCAGATCTCAGCTCCCTGAGTGTTGGGATTACAGGCATGAGCCACCAGTGCCCAGCTTGTCTTTTCTTTTTTGATACTAGGGATCAAACAGAAGACTTTGCACTTGCTAGGTAAGTGCTTTGCCACTGAGCTACAACCCAGCCCACATCTCTAAGCTTTTTTGCTCAAGGCTAGAGCTCTACCACTTGAGTCACAGCTCCACTTCCAGTTTTTTTCTGGTTCATTGGAGTCTCATAGACTTCCCTGCCTGGGTTGGCTTCCAACTACCATCCTCAGATCTCAGGCTCCTGAGTAACTAGGATCATAGGCGTGAGTCTCTGGCAACTAGGTCTCTGTTAGCTTCTTGAAAAAAGTTTTTGTTTCTCCAACCTTTATTGCACAAATAAAGAAAGACTTAAGGTTTATCCTTGCAGGTTGGTGGTGTGGTTATCTGTAATCCCATCACTCCAGAGGTAGAGGAAGGAAGATCACAAGTTCCGGGCCAGCCTGGGCCACCCTCTTATCACTAAGCAAGGGAAGAAACAGAAGTTTTCCCAAGACATTGTTTTCTCAGAAAGGTTGCCTTCCCAGCTATGTAAATCTATGTCAGGGTAATGCAATGCAGCATATCTCCTAGATTTTAGACATAACCTTAAATTGTTCTTTTAAAACTGCCAGCACATACCGGAAGCATTTTCAGGCTCTCCAGAACATTTAAGCCAATCAAACCAAAACCAAAACCACACTTCTTGTCAACTCAACACTTGACATATTTTTGCTTAGACCCTCCTTCTTGTAGGGGCCATCTATGCACCTCAGGATCATCCTAGGTCTACCTCCTTGGTGTCTCTAGCACCTTGCTTCCTGTGACAACTCAAAATACCTCCAGACATTCCCAAATGTCCCCAAAGGGCACTTGCCCCATGTCAAGAACTAATAGAGTAAGTCCAAATGTTTCTTTAGCCGTGTGTGTATGTGTGTGCACCAGTCCTAAAGCTTGAACTCAGGCTCTACCATTTGAACCACAGCTCTACTTCTGGCTTTTTGCTGGTTAAGTGGAGATAAGATCTCACAGGCTTTCCTGCCTGGGATAGTTTTGAACCATGATCCCTAGATCTGAGCCTCATGAGTGGTTAGTATTATAGGAATGAGCCACTGGCTCCTGACTTGCATTGCTGGTCATTTTTGCTGGAGGCCTTGCTGGGAGATTAGATGATGTTGTCCAGCTCTGTTATGACTTCGTGGCAAGGGCTCCATAATTCTTTGAGTTGTTCCTAAAGCCCTTTATCATTTCATGAACATGTAACAAGTCCCTTGCACTGCATACAGATACATTGATCAGGTGTTTTGCCACATGCATGACCAAACCAGCATCCTGTTATCTGAAGTCCTTTGCTTAGTTTGATTTTCAAAACAGAAATAGGGAATGGATCAAACCTATCAAGTAGCATGGAGGTACTAATTACCAAGAGCCGCAGTGCAGCAGTCTTTCAAATGGCCCTTCCTGAGTCAGAGTGGTGGCACATGCCTGTAGTTCCAACACTCTGGAAGCTGAGCCTGAAGGACTGTTTGAGGCCAACCTGGGACACATAGATCCTGTATTAAGCCCTCACTCTTCCCAAATCCTCCCCTCATGTCCTGCCCTCTCTGTTCCTTACCTTGTGTAACATTCTTTCTCCTCCGAGACACAAGGCAGCACATTCAGTATCCTGACCCCTAACTTGTCCAGTGAGGACAGCAGGTAAAGCCACGGCTGAGTGACCCCCTTGCCAACGGCAGCAGAGGCCCACTGGACTGGGTGGCCTCACCCACCACACTTCATAGGCTTTCTAATCACTTTCCTAATGCAAAGACAAGTCAAGAGAGGAAGTGGGGGGCTGGGAAGGTGGCTCAGTGGTAGAGTGCTTGCCTTGCATGCCTGAGGCCCTGGGTTCTATTCCTCAGCACCACATAAGCAAAAAGAAAAAAAGCCGGAAGTGGCGCTGTGGCTCAAGTGGTAGAGCGCTAGCCTTGAACTGAAGAGCTGAGGGACAGCGCCCAAGCCCAGAGTTCAGGCCCCACGACCAGAACCCCCCCCCCCAAAAAAAAAGAGGAAGTGGGGAAGAGGAGAGCGAAGGTAGAAAAAGTATGGGCATAATCTCCTACATTATAACTACGCCATGTGGAAATTCAACATATTTTTGCTGATGACTCAGTCAGTAAATCCAATAAAACAAGTGGCAAAACATGAAAGCTCCCAAGTACACCACACTGTATTTCATCTAAGAGTTTTATGTTTTCAAGTAAAAAAGTCTTATGAAAAAAAGATGTGTGTGTGTGTGTGTGCGTGACCAGACTCACTGGCCCCATGAGCTGCGTTGAGCTATAGAAGATTCCCTTCCCTTCAATCTGCCTAGGCTCTCAGCAGCACTGGAGTTCATGAAAGCATGGGCGTTTGACAGGAAGTCCAGCTCACCTTTTCTTAGCATGGCAACTTCCGGGTGCTGCAGCCTGCAACTTGTTCCACGCAGATCACCTCATGATGCCACAGAATGTGTGGGCACACTCAAGTTTTCAGTCTGATTTCTTTTGTAACATTTGATTCTCTAGTCTCTTTGTAAGACCTGTGGATTTCCCACTTCTACCTTAAATTAAACCCTCTGCTTCTATCCTAAATCAGGGGCCAAATAGTAAATGTTTCAGGCTTTTGTAGGTCATACACAGTCTCTATTGTTGTGACTATGTGTACATAAACACATACAATTTTTTTTTGTAAGTAGTGGGGTCTGAACTCTGGCTGTGGGCGCTGTCCCTCAGCTCAACACTAGTGCTCTACCACTTTGAGCCACAGCACCACTTCCAGCTTTTTCTGCTTATGTGGTGCTGAGAAATCGAATTCAGGACCACATGCATGTGAGGCAAGCACTTCACCACTGAGCCACTTTCCCAGCCCCACCCCCCACTATTTTAAAGAATGTTCCAGAAATGTCAAACCACTCTTAGCCATTCCCAAAAAAGCCTCCATGCTTTTGCCTGCTGCCTTGCCTCCCACAAGTAATTCCAAGTGGGAGGGAATCACTGGTCTGGACTTCTGAAGACAGACCAGAGGGGAGAAAGGGCTCCCTCTTTCCTGAAGACCCTCCAATAACCTGCATGGCAGCCCCCACTTGGGCTGTGCCCGTGCAGCCTGCAGGTGGTAAAGCCGGCCCCAGACCGGGAAGAGGTTTGAATGAAAACATGAAGAGACAACAAAGGCAGTTTATTGCGCAGACTCCGAGGTAGATGGCTGGGAACAGCGGGCAGGTCACGCGCCCAGTCCCTCAGGCATGCAGTCAAAAGGCTCTCAGACGTGGGTGGGCGGGAGCCCCAGCCTCCACCAACGGCTCAGCTGGTGCACAAGGGGAAAAGATCCTGTGGGATGCGGCCCGCTCACTGCGAGTGGCTCTGAGGGAGAGTGCCCCGCGAGCGCGTTCATTTAGACCGGCTCTTCTTTGGCAACTGTAGCTTCTTCCACCGTCGGAGCACGACGCGGTATTTTTCACTTTCCGTTTTCTCTTCAGACACCTTTTTCAGGAGAACTCGCATCACCACCTCGGTTTCTGCTTCCTTATCCTCTCCGATGAGAAGATCCAAAGTATCGCCTACTTTCACCTAAAAAGGAAAAGAAAGTGGGACTTGTATTATGTGTTGGGAAACCCAGGCCCCTTCAAATATTCCCGTGCATGGCCAGTGCAGTATCCATTGGGTTATGGAAGGAAATACTTGAACATCTGTTTCTGGAAGACTGGCAAACTGCAAAACAGGGCCCAGAGCAGTATGTGCAAGGTGACTACGTCCCCACCGGGAGGGTGAGCTCCACGCAGTCCCTCCGCTGACTGCCCTCCACGATCTGGTGCTTTGTTTCTATCTTGAAAATTCATTTCTTATTATCTTTAAAAAGTTGAAGAAAGGGGGCTGGGAAGGTGGCTCAGTGGTAGAGCGCTTGCCTTGCATGCATGAGGCCCTGGGTTCCACTCCTCAGCACCACATAAGCAGAAAAAGCCAGAAGTGGCGCTGTGGCTCCAGTGGTAGAGTGCTAGCCTTGAGCTGAAGAGCTGAGGGACAGCGCCCAGGCCCTGAGTTCAGGCCCCAAGACTGGCAAAAAAAAAAAAAAAAGTTGAAGAAAAGGGTTTCAACTCAACACTTCAGGTTCTGTGTACAGTGCATTTCGATCAGTGTCATCCCTTCCATGTTCTTCCCTGCGTCTATACCCACCTACCCGTCCCCTGCTTTCCTAGTTCCATTTTCATATATGCACCCTGACTGTATTTGCACACTCTTCCCCTCTTTTTGTCCACCCCTTGAACCCTCACTCCTCTAAGACATGTTTCAGCTTCCTGGTATTTGTTTTTGAACCATGATCCTCAGATCTCAGCTTCCTGAGTAGCTAGGATTACAGGTGTGAGCCACTGGCGTTGGGCCCTTTCATCAATTTTTAACTTATATGACCTAGGTGAAACAGGCTGGGGCAGTGCGCTGGAAAGCCAGTCACTGCAGACAGTGGTCAGCTGCTGGGAAATGGAAGCAAGGGCGCTGCTTTGCCAGTGCTGGCTAGCTCCTAGGAAGCTACATGATCACTAAGACCAACAAGCCTCAATTCAAAGATGGAATGCAAGCTGGGCACCAGTGGCTCATACCTGTAATCCGAGCTACTCAGGAGGCTGAGAAATGAGGCAGAAAAGGCCCTGTTAGACTCTTATTTCCAATTAATCACTCAAAAATTGGCTGTGGAGCTATGGCTCAAAGTGGTAAAGCACTAGCTTTGAGCAAAAGAGCTCAGGGACAGCACCCACACCCTGAGTTCAAGCCCTATGACTGGAAAAAAAAAAAAAAACTAAAAAAAATAAAAAGATGGAATGCAAATAAAAGAGAAGACAAGGAAAGCTGGGTGGTTTGTAATCCCAGCACACAGGAATCTGAGGCAGGAGGATCGTGAGTTTGAGGTCAGCCAGGGCTGCACATAAGATTATCTTAAGAACAAATACAAAACAAAAGGACCAAAAGAGGATAGAGTCACGTGCCGACCACATTGGTCAGATAGCTTCCAAGTGAAAGCCACTCTCGTACTGAAGGAAGTTGTGGGCTGAGTTAGTCAAGGGATGCCTTGGACTGCTCATGTGGACTCCAAGGACTAACAGTGAGGATCAGGCCTATGCCAAGCATGTGGACAGACTGACAGTCGAAGCAGCTCAGGAAGTCATAAGATCTTTCCAGAGACTCAAGGAAGGCCTATGCAGATCTGGATGCAGACCTGGATGCCATGTGCCATTACTTCACTAAAACAAAAGTCAGATAACTCCAAGTGTGGCTCAAGTGGTACAGTGCTGCTAGCCTTGAGCCAAGCAAGAATGCAAGTCTCGGAGCTCAAGCTCCATACTGGTATACACAAAGAGGGAGAGAGGAGAGAGGAGAGAGGGAAGAGAGAGAGAGAGAGAGAAAGAGAGAGAAAGAGAGAGAGAGAAAGAGAGGATGGGAGGGGGGAAGAAAGGGAGGAGAAGGAGGGTGGAGAAGGAAGGTTGTGAGAAAAAGAGGAAGGGAGGAGGAGAGAGGGAGGGGGAGACAGGGCGAGGGTGTGGGAGAGAGAAGAGGGTAAGGGATAAGAAGAGGGAGAGTGAGCCAGTGCTCGGGCCCTGAATTCAAGCCCCAGGACCTGCAGACACACATATAGCCCCTACAAAAAGACAAATACCCAACAAATAAAAACAAACCAAACATGTAGGGTAGCAAGCAAAAGACTGCAGAGATTCCGTTTAAGAAGCATGGTGTCGGGCTGGGAAGGTGGCTCAGTGGTAGAGTGCTTGCCTTGCATGCCTGAGGCCCTGGGTTCGATTCCTCAGCACCACATAAGTAAAACGGAAAAAAAAAAAGCCGGAAGTGGCGCTGTGGCTCAAGTGGTAGAGCGCTAGCCTTGAGCTGAAGAGCTGAGGGACAGCGCCCAGGCCCAGAGTTCAGGCCCCACGACCGGACCCAAAAAAAAAAGCATGGTGTCAAACACTGACTTTAACCTAGTTCCCAAGTATGTTCTCAACTTTATAGAGTGTCAAAACATTTATATCTCATGAAAGCAAGCCCGTATCTGCTCTCCTACCCACTCAAGCAGGCCCAATACGGACTGAGTTTGTACTGTGGGCATGCACAGTTGCTGGCTGTGACACTACCTGGTCTGTCTTGGAGGCCCAGAGTATGTCCTGTAAAATTCATGCAGAGGCAGATTTTAAACTAGTAACTTGCTCCCCTCTGGGCTGAGAAATAAGAAGCTCATACCATGTCTATATACCCAGATTGCTTTCTCCCTTAAGTGTAAAGCGTGGGCCCACCCAGGTATTATCTGGAGGGTCCCTGCTCTGCAGCACTTCCACTGGGCCAAATCCAAAAACATAGCCAAATTGACTAGTATAGACATTTGAAAAATCATTGTACAGAAATATAACACTTGCCGGGACTGGTGGCGCACACCTGGAATCCTACCATTTAGAGGCTGAACTAGGAAGATCATGAGTCCAAGACTATCCTGGTTACAAACTTTGTTGTTGTTTTTTTTTGTGTGTGGGGGAGGGGGTCTGGTCGTGGGGCCTGAACTCTGGGCCTGGGCGCTGTCCCTCAGTTCTTCAGCTCAAGGCTAGCGCTCTACCACTTGAGCCATAGAGCCACTTCCGGCTTTTTTCTTTTTGCTTATGTGGTGCTGAGGACTCGAACCCAGGGCCTCATGCATGCAAGGCAAGCGCTCTACCACTGAGCCACCTTCCCAGCCCAAACTTTGTTTTGTTTTTTATTTTAAAAAAAAAAGAAAAATAGCCAGTTGCTGGTGGCTAATGCCTGTAATCCTAGCTACTCAGGAGGTTGAGATCTGAGGATCTCAGGTTTGAAGCCAGCTCAGGAAGAAAAGTCTGTGAGACTCTTATCTCCAGAAACCTGGAAGAGGTACTGTGGCTCAAGTGGTAGAGTGCTAGTCTTGAGCTGAAGAGTTCAGGGATAATGCCCAGGTCCAGAGTTCAAGACCCATGACCACCACCTCCCCCCACTCCCCCCCACAAAAAAAGAAAGAAAAAGAAAAAGAAAAGTAAGGGCTGGGAAGGTGGCTTAGTGGTAGAGTGCTTGCCTTGCATGCATGAGGCCCTGGGTTCCATTCCTCAGCATCACATAAGCAGAAAAAGCCAGAAGTGGCGCTGTGGCTCAAGTGGTAGAGAGCTAGCCTTGAGCTGAAGAGCTGAGGGACAGTGCCCAGGCCCAGAGTTCAGGCCCCACGACTGACCAAAAAAAAAAAAAGAAAAGAAAAAAGAAAAATAAGCAAGGTGCTGGTGGCTCATACCTATAATCCTAGCAAATCAGGAGGCTGAAATCTGAGGACTGTGATTCAAAGCAAGCCTGGGTAGAAAGGTAGTTTATTGCCAATAAACTATTCAGAAAAAGCTGGAAGTGGTGCTGTGGCTCAAGTGGCAGAGTGCTAACCTCGAGCAAAAGGAGCTCAAGGACAGTGCTTAGGCCCTGAGTTCAAGCCCTAGGACTAGCACAAAAGATGAAAAAAAAAATAAAAAAAAGAAAGAAAATAAAACTGAGCACAGTGGCTCAAGCCTGCAATTCTCGCTCTTAAGAAGTGAGATTGGGGGGCTGTAGTTCAAGACCAGACAGACAAAAAAATTCCACAAGACTATCTCAATCAATGGCTGGGCACGGTGGCTCACACCCATTTCTGCCTGTCCTCCTCAGAGACTTAGGGATACATCAATAGGAGAATCCCAGTCCAGCCTGGCTAGGGCATAAAGAGAGACTCTATTTTGAAAGTAATATACAAAGGGGCTGGGAAGGTGGCTCAGTGGTAGAGCGCTTGCCTTGCATGCATGAGGCCCTGCGTTCGAGTCCTCAGCACCACATAAGCAAAAAGAGAAAAGCAGAAGTGGCACTGTGGCTCAAGTGGTAGAGCGCTAGCCTTGAGCTGAAGAGCTGAGGGACAGCGCCCAGGCCCAGAGTTCAGGCTCCATGACCAGACCCCCCCCCCCCAAAAAAAAAAAAAGAAAGAGAAAGTAATACACAAAAAAAGGCTCATGGAGCAGCTCAAGAGGTAGAGTACCTACTTAGCAAGTGAGACTTTTGGGCACCATCTTAGTAAAATTCATTCTAATAGGTAACATACACATGCCACACACAATGCACAAAAGGCAACCCTTCTTGTGTACCTTTCACAGACAGAGTTCCACCCTTAAAAGGGCAGCGAGTGGGCTGTTCGGCTGTTTAAGGGGCAGGTACTAGGCAAGGCCTGTACCTCCTTTGTCCAGCTCAGCTCAGGGAGAGGGGAGTTCAGGAAGGACTGGCTCACACATGGCTCCTCACCCCACCTGGAAGTTAACAAATGGCTGGCAGCTTCGGTAGCATGGGCTCCACCTGGTTCACAGAGCACAGAAAAGCTTTTACAGCTGGAGGTAGGCAGGGCTGGAGCTGCAGCATCAGACAGCGCCTGACCCTCCAGGGCCACAGCCAGGCGCGGGTTCCATGGAGCAGGCCAAGGAAGGCGAGGCGTTCTTTATTCCCCTCCGAGACACTGTCCTTTAGCAGACACAAAGCAAAACTGGCTGGGATTAGTGGCTGTTCCAAATATCTACATTTCAAATCTCCCCTTAGCTGCAGTTTCTATGGCTACCGGGCCTCCTAGTAACAAGGCAGCTGCGTGTTAATGCTGGCCTCTGCCTTTGCTGACCCTCAGGAGAAATCTGGATGGCAGCCGAGACAACAAAACACCCAAGGCAGAATGAAGCAGTAGCAATTAGACTGTAGTTAACAATATCTCAAAGCAGGGGGAGAAAAATAGGCTTTTGGGTTTATAAATGAGGTCCCAGCAGAGAGGCAAGGTGTTCTAGGAGTAATCATTTCTTACTCTAAGAACACATCTTGCCCTTAGAAGACTGGGGCTGAGGAAAGGGGGCCAGGCTACAAGCAGGAGAAAGCAATTAAGGGCAGAGAAGGGCCTATCTGGTTTTGTGCAGCTCACTGAACAATGGCTGACAGAGCAGTCTGAGCTTGTCAGCTCAAGGCTGTCCAGAGGGATGGACCTGGGGGCTGAGGGCTGAGAATCATGTGCATGAAACCAGCTGCAAATACCTTTTAACACGGAGCAAACTGAAGGAATGCTTCCTGCTCCTCCCACCCCATAAGACAGCATCACTGTCTATGGACCAGAGCAACAAGAGGTGGCTCAGGTCCTCCAACCCCAAAGAAAATTTGAAATATTAAAGAAAAAAAAATCTCAAAAAGGGTGTCTAGCCTCCCTAGAACATTGCTTCTCACAACACTGATCAAGAAATGCCTTCTAGTATCATAAGTCTGATGTTGCCAAACTTTTTGTTGTTGTTGGTGGTTATGGGGCTTGAACTCAGGGGTAGACACTGTTTCTGAGCTTTTTCACTCAAGGCCAATGCTCTACCACTTTGAGCCACAGCACCACTTCAGTTTTCTGGAAGTTTATTGGAGATAAGAGTCTTACAGACGTTACTGCCTGGACTGGCTTTGAACCATGATCCTCAAATCTCAGCCTCCCGAGAGCTAGGATTACAGGTGTTGAGCCACTGGCACCAGCATGTCCATGAGCTTCTTTTTGCTCAAGGCTAGCATTCTATCACTTGAACCATAGTGCCACTTCTGACTTTTTTTGTTTATATGGGACTGAGGAATTGAACCCAAGGCTTCATTATGCTAGGCAAGCACTCTACCACTAAGCCATACTCCTAGCCCTGGCCTCAAATTTTAATCCTCTAGTTCTCAGCCTCCTGAGTAACTAGGATTACATGCATGAGTCAATGGCACCTGGCTAAAATATCTTCAACAGAAAAAAGAAAATAAGGCACTTCCATTCCAATATCTAGTTTTGTTTTTACAAACAATAAAACTTTCCCTCAACCTTTGGTGTTGCCAAAGTGGATACTGGAAATAGCTTCTTTATACCCACCCCCCTTCTTTCTTTCTCTCTCTCTCTTTTCCCCCTGGTCCTGGGGCTTGAATTCAGGGTCTGGGCTCTGGCCCAGAGCCTCTCTGTGCTCAAGGCTAGTGCTCTACTACTTAAGCCACAGTATCACTTCCTGGAAATACACTTCTTTATAAGAAACTTAAACTTATTTTTCTCAATTGTTATTGACTTGAACCTGTCAAAAAGTAGATCTTTTTTTTTTTTGGGGGGGGGGGGGGTTGTGGGGCTTGAACTCTAGGCTTGAGCGCTGTCCCTCAGCTCTTCAGCTCAAGGTGAGCGCTCTACCACTTGAGCTACAGCGCCACTTCCGGTTTTCTAGTGGTTTATTGGAGATAAGAATTTCACGGACTTTCCTGCCCGGGCTGGCTTTGAACCGTGATTCTCAGATCTCAGCCTCCTGAGTAGCTAGGATTACAGGTGTGAGCCACCGGCGCCCGGCTCAGAAAGTAGATCTTTATGCATGCTTCCCTGCACGCAAAGGAATGCCTCAGCCAGTGCTCATGAATACTGTTGAAATGAACAGAGTCACACATCTGCTCCGGTAATACCTCTACATGTCAAATACTTCCTTGTAATCTGCGATTCCATGGAGGCTAACATTAATAGATTTTTGCCAGTCCCCAAAGTGGCCTATGCCAAAGGCTTCTTCATCACAGGGTCATTAAGGGTGCAAAGGAGAAAGTGGCCTGTGATAAAGCCTGCTGTCAGATTCCGTCAGATGGACCAGGGCCAGGGAGAATGGAAGATCTGATGCACCACAGAGTGCAGACAGAAACCAAAACTATCTGGCTCTCATTATATGTTTAATTTCTCACCGTTCTGCTTTTCTTCCATAACTTTTCCCCATTCAGTCTCAGTTCACCTTTGTAGAATGCATCTTCTACTTTGCTATTAAAAAAAAAAAAGAAAAGCATTTTAAAATACAGAAACATAGGGGCTGGGAAGGTGGCTCAGAGGTAGAGTGCTTGCCTCCCATGCATGAGGCCCTGGGTTTGATTCCTCAGCACCACATAAACCGAAAAAGCCAGAGTGGCACTGTGGCTCAAGTGCTAGAGTTCTAGCCTTGAGCTGAAGAGCTCAAGGACAGCACCCAGACCTACAGTTCAAGCCCCATGACTGATCAAAAAACAAAAACAAACCAATACAGAAATATATTCAAGGCTGGGAATGTGGCTTAGTGGTAGAGTGCTTGCCTGGCTTGTATGAAGCCCTGGATTCCATTCCTCAGTACCATATAACAGAAAAAGCTGGAAGTGGTGCTGTGGCTCAAGTGGTAGAGCACTAGCCTTGAGCAAAGAAGCTCAGGGACAGTGCCCAGGCCCTGAGTGCAAGCCCGAGGATTGAAAGAAAAAAAAAAAAAAGAAGAGCAAAAGAACAGTAAAATCAGATAGTGAGTCTTAGAGGATCACGGTTCAAAGCCAGCCCAGGCAGGAAAGTCTATGAAATAGACTCTTACCTCCAGTTAATAGCAAAAGAAGGGCTGGGAATGTAGCTTAGTGGTAGTTTGCCTAGCATGCATGAAGCCTGAGTTCAATTCCTAAGTACCACTTAAACAGAAAAAGCCAGAAGTGGTGCTGTGGCCCAAGTGGTAGAGTACTAGCCTTGAAAAGCGAAGCTGAGGGACCGTGTCTGGTTCTGAGTTCAAGCCCCAGGACTGGCAAAAAAATAAAAAGCATAAAAAGAAGCCAGAAGTGGAGTTGTAGCTTAAAAGGTAGAGCACCAGCCTTGGGACCAACACCAAACAGAGAAAGAAAAGGCTGAGAATGTGGTTTAATGGTAGAATGCTTGCCAAGCACACATGAAGCCCTGGGTTCGATTCCTCAGTAAAAGGGTTTGATTCCTTGGTACCATATAACCAAAAATTAAATAATGACTGGGAATGTGGCTTAGTGGTAGAGTGCTTACCTAGCATGCATGAAGCCCTGGGTTCCATTACTCAATACCACATAAACAGAAAAACCCAGAAGTGGCGGTATGGCTCAAGTGGTAGAACATTAGTCTTGAGCACAGAGAGGTTCAATGACAGGGTCCAGGCCCTGAGTTTAAGCTCCAACACTGGCAAAAATAAGTAAATAAATAAAGCATAAAGGAAGAAAATTAAGAGGAAAATAACATTAAAATTCATTTAGAAAAACAAAGAAAGAAAAGCTGAGCAAAAGCATGAAGTCCTGAATTCAAGCCCCCATACGGACACCAAAAAAAACAAAAACAAAACAAAACAAAACAAAAAAACAGCCAGGCACAAGCACAGTGGTTGTGCATAGTTGTTATCCCAGCTACCCAGGAGGGAGGGAAGCACAGACCAAATGATCAGTCCCTGGGGATGGGAATGTGGCTTTGTGGTAGAGTGCTTTACCTAGTATGCAAGAAGCCCTAGATTTGATTCCTCAGTACCACATAAGCAAAAAAAGCCAGAAGTGAAGCTGTGGCTCAAGTGGGAGTGCTAGGCTTGAGCCAAAGAAGCTCAGGGATAGTGTTTAGGCCTTGAGTTCAAGCCCCAGGACTGGCAAGAAAAAGAAAAGAAAAAAAATAGTGTAAAGCAAACAGAGCTGGAGGTATGAGTAAAATGATAGAGTGCTTGCCTAGCAACTGCAAGACCTTGAATTCAAAGTCCAATGCTGCCAGAAAAAAGAATCTGCCTTCTTAACTACTACCTTCTATTTCTCTTGTTGACTTTGGAAGATACCTTCTCACACTGAAGTATTTGTGAAATCCAAGTATTTTTTTACCTGATATATATATATATATATAATGTAGTATATGTGATTCTTTTTCTTGGTGTCTTGGTTCCATCCAACACACACACACACACACACACACGCTTGGTGTCTTGGTTCCATCCAACACACACACACACACACACACACACACACACACACACACACACACACTCTCTCTCTCTCTCTCTCTCTCTCTCTCTCTCTCTCTCTCTCTCTCTCTCTCTCTCAACGAATCATAAGATACTCAACTGTGTCTTAGAACCAAAGGAAATATGGCCTATGGGGATCAGTTTTTTCATCTATACAATGAAATAACTGAAGTAAATTTTCACACAGTCCTTTCATATCTGTGGTTATTCCTTACTGTCATAAGGGTTGAATGATTTGTAGTGATGCATTAAAATAAGCAGACCAGTGAGTTCACAATGAAACACGCCATACTCACTTTCTCCCAATATCAAGGCCAGTCTTCAGGATGACATCATACCGAAAAGACTGCACGACTTTGTCCAGGTCTTTGTAGTCTTTGGGCACACTGGGGTCCTCCTCAAGCTCCTCTTCCTGCTCACTCCTCTCGCTGCGAGCACCCTCATCATCAGAGTCCGCCTCATCTGCTTTTTGCAGAGTCTTTTTAGCAGATTTCTTAGAGCTTATATTGCTTTTGAGTCTTATAGAACATGGAATATGTTCTGGAGATACTAAAAGCCCAGGAAGTCTGAGAGAAAAACTATGTTGGGAAAGTGTGTTATAATATGGCGCAATTAACTTGGTGCTAGAAATATATAAGTGTTGGTTCCAGGAAACATACAGTCTGTGTGAAGGTGTTCCTTGAAGCACACCCCGTAGTCGGATCCAGGTGTCTGACTTCCTTAGAGCACCACTGAGCAATCGGACACCTGTCACAGCCATGCTGCATAAGACCTGAAACAGACAATAATTCAGTTTTACTTCAGTGTCAGATTATTCTTACAACCATATGTGCCACAAGGCCTCTGCCGTTACACTGGACTTTATGCTCCCCTATACCAGGCTGTATCAGCAAGATACAGGGCAAGAGCCTCACACCATGCCATGCCGCCTCCTTGCTACAAATGTAAAGGCTTAGCTCATAGGGTTGTCATGAGGGTCCAGAGGGTACAAGTATGTGTGGAAAAAATGGTTTTGCTTCCGTTAACTGAGTTCAGATTGTTACTGAAAGAAAAATGGCTAACAGTAATTTCAATGATGAAAGATAGAAAAATCTGGACAGAAAAATTGTTTCTGGCACACACTCCATCCTTGCCACAGTGACACTGCCAGTCCGAGGATGGCAGATCATGACCTCAGAAATTCAGTGAATCTAAACTTCCTTGCAACCTCCAACCCCAGCAAATAAGTCAGCAATAAAGAATTGCATCAGATCATTTGTCTCCTTTTAAGACTCCTTCCCACTGCTGAACAGAGCCTTTAGCAGAGAGGAAGGGACCTGAGGCACAAAATTTAGGCAATTAGGGCTGGGAATGCGGCTTACTGGTATAGTGCTTGCTAGCAAGCATGAAGCCCTGGGTTCGATTCCTCAGTAGCACATACACAGAAACAGCTGGAAGTGGCACTGTGGCTCAAGTGGTAGAGTGCTAGCTTTGAGCAAAAGAAGCTCAGGGGCAGCGGCCAGACCCTGAGTTCAATCGCCAGGACTGGAAAAAATAAAGATAAACAAACTAGGCAATCATTTCTGGAGGTACTAAGGCACTGATTTCAAAAGCCAATCAGTAGTGGTTGTACAAAGGTTTCAATTCTATATGTCTGGCTATGAGAACACTGCTTCTTAATGTCACCCCTTCCATCATTCTCCATTTCCCCATTCCAACCCCACCCTCAAGTTACTCAGTTCACTTTTTATATAATGTACCCTTAATATGACTGCACTGATTAAAACTTTTACTTTTTCTTTTTTTGGTTGTGGGACTTGAACTCTGGGCCTTGGTGCTGTCCCTGAGCTCTTTAGCTCAAGGCTAGCATTCTGCCACTTGACTCAGAGCGCCACTTCCAGTTTTTGAGTGGTTTATTGGAGATAAGAATCTCTCAGCAGGGATGGGAAGGTGGCTCAGTGGTAGAGCGCTTGCCTTGCATGCATGAGGCCCTGGGTTCAATTCCTCAGCACCACATAAGCTAAAAGAAAAAAGCCGGAAGTGGCGTTTTGCCTCAAGTGGTAGAGCTCTAGCCGCCTTGAGCTGAAGAGCTGAGGGATAGCATCCAGGCCCAGAGTTCAAGCCCCATGACCGGATCTCCTCCCCCCGCCCCCCAAAAAAGGCTCTCGGCCATTCCTGCCCAGGCTAGCTTTGAACTGTGATCCTGAGATCTCAGCCTCCTGAGTAGTTAGGATTACAGGCGCTGGCGCCCAGCTGTCCATTATACTTTAGAACTGATGTCTTTGGTAATAATTTTTACTATTTTTTTCCCTTCCTACTTTCCATCAACCACATAGTTGATAACAATTATGTTCTGCACACACTACTTCCTTATTTTCCTGTGTACATGAACAGACAACACAGCTCAATTCTTATTCTACAACTCTTGTGTGGTCCCAGTCTAAATCTTTTCTTGTGTTGCTGTTGAAATAATTTTAAAATGCCTTAAAACTTTAGAGTACTTTAAAATAACTAGAAACTACCTGAATCATGTTCAAGAGAAATGCTGCAACAAGTTACATATATATATGTATACATATATACATATATATATATATATATACATTCTAATTCAAAAGACTGAACAAAATTCAAAGAAATAATTTAATTTTATAGAATCAAGGACAAAGAAAAGAGCTTATCTCTTGCTAGCAATATAGCTCAGCAGCAGAGTGCTGGCTTAGAATGTGTGTGGCCCTGGATTTGATACTCAGCTGTGAAAAAGAAACAAAAAAGGCCTATTTTGGGAGTTTGTAGACTTTACAAATATTCCTAATTTCTATAGTAAATTTTTTCTTGAACAAAGCTAACTTCATCAGCTGTAATACCAGAAAGAATGGAGTGTTTCAGGGGCAGGGGAGTGAGAGGGAGGACCACCCCAAAGTAAGAGACACCCAGGGGGATGGAAATGTCATGGCCAGAGGCAGAAGCTAAGCCTCTTCTGTCAGTCCTGAGTGCATGCAATCTTGGGAAACAGTCCTAGCTTTAGTTGAGCACTGTGGCTCACACCTATAATCCTAGCTACTCAGGAGGCTGAGACCTGAGGATCTTGATTCAAAGCTAGCGCTGGCAACAAATCCCCAAGATAATTTTCTTTTCTTCTTTCTCTTTCCTTTTTTTTTTGGGGGGGGGTCCGGTCGTGGGGCTTGAACTCTGGGCCTGAGTGCTGTCCCTCAGCTCTTCAGCCCAAGGCTAGCACTCTACCACTGGAGCCACAGCGCCACTTCTGGCTTTTTTCTTTTTGGTTATGTGGTGCTGAGGAATCGAACCCAGGGACTCATGCATGCAAGGCAAGTGCTCTACCACTGAGCCACCTTCCCAGCCCATCTCCTTTCTCTCTTTCTCTCTCTCTCTCTCTCTCTCTCCCTCCCTCTCTCTTTTTCTTCTCTTTTTGGCCAGTCCTGGGGCTTGAACTCAGGGGGGGGCCTAGGCACTGTCCTTGAGCCTCTTTTGCTCAAGGCTAGCACTCTACCACTTGAGCCACAGTGCCACTTCTGGCCTTTTCTGTTTATGTGGTACTGAGGAATTGAATCCAGGGCTTCATGCATGTTAGGCAAGCACTCTACCACTAAGCCATATTTTCCTGAAGATTTTTTTTTCTTTTCTGGTTGGTCGTGGGGCTTGAACTCTGGGCCTAGACAATGTCCCTTTGCTCTTCAGCTCAAGACTAGCGCTCTACCACTTGACCCATAGTGCCACTTCTGGTTCTGGTGGTTTATTGGAGATAAGAGTCTCACAGACTTTCTTGCCTGGGCTGGCTTTGAACCTGATCTTCAGATCTCAGCCTCCTGAGTAGCTAGGATTAGAGGCGTGAGCTACCACACCCAGCCTAGCCTCAAGATTCTTATTTCCAACTAACCAGCAAAAGCTGGAAGTTGGGAGTGTGGCTTAGATGAGCGAAGCCAAAGAGTTCAAGCATAAATAAATAGGTCATTTGGACCAGGCATGACAGCATTCAGAATCATATTTTGTTTCCTTAAAACTTTACAGAAACACTGAACACTCTCCTCCTCCTCTTATGTTTGGCCACTTACCTCCACTCACACTGGCCTTCATACCCCCCACATACAATGGATCGATTATCTTTGTTTTCTGCTGCTACAACTGAATGCTACAGCATGGACAATTTACAAAGAACAGATGCTTATTCAGCTCACAGTCCTCAAGGCTGGGGAAGTCCAGGAACATGGACATATGCCAGACACAGAGCAAGCATGCCTCAGAAAGCTTGCCATGAGTTTTATAACAAAGTCACTCCCCAAATAACTCATTAATCCGTGAGTGGATCAATCTGTACACCACAGCAGAGCCCTCATACCTCAATCACCTCCACAGGTCCTACCTCTCAACACTGAAGCACTGGGGACAAAGTGGTACCACACACACACACACACACACACACACACACACACACACACACACACACAAAATGGAGAAATCACATTCAAACCATACTAGACTTGTTCCAGCTGGGCCTAGAACACTTACCAGATGATACCTGCAATGTCAACTCCTCACTTTCTTAGTCTTACAGGCCTCTCAGTGAGGCTCACCTACTTCAATTCTATTTTTTCTCTTGCCCTATCAGTCTCCTTATCTTTAGTTTTTTTTTCTCCCATCACATGTATTTGAATAATGTGCAAAATGGTTTTGTTTGAAGTGACTGTTCCTCACAAAAATATAATGCCCACAAAAGTTTGATTCTTCACCACTATTTGACTCCTCTGCTGAAGTCCAAGTTACCCAGATACCTATCCCAAGGTAAATGCTTAATTTAAAATTTGCTCAGGCTGGAAATGTGGCTTAGTGGTAAAATGTTTGCCTAACATGAATGAAGTCCTGGCTTTGATTCCTCAGTACTACGTAAACAGTGCCCAGGTCCTGAGTTCAAGTCCCAGGACTGGCAAAATAAAAAAGATATAAAAAAATTTACATGTTGGGTGCCAGTGGCTTATTGCCTGCAATCTTAGCTACTTAAGAGGCTGAGATCTCAAAGCCAGCCCGGGGAAGCAAAGTCCGTGAGACTGATTTCCAATAAACCACCAGGAAACCGCGAGTGGGGCTGTGGGTCAAGTGGCAGAACGCTAGCCTTGAGCTGAAGGGCCCAGGTCCAGAATTCAAGCCCCACAACTGACCCCCACCTCCCAAATGGTGTAATTCCAGCTCTTGGGGAGGCTAAGGAAGGAGGAGGGCACGCTGTCAACTAACCTGGGCTACATGTGAGACTGTGCCTCAAAAACACAAAAGCAAAGCTGAGCACCAGAGGCTCAGGCCTGTAATCCTAGCTACTCAAGAGGCTGAGATGTGAGGATCGCGGTTCAGTCAGCCGGGGCAGGAAAATTCCGGAGACTCTTATCTCCACTAAACTACCAAATAAATAAATAAATGAATGCATGCATGCCAGACTGTGGCTCAAAGTGGTAGAGTGCTAGCCTTGAGTAAATGGAAGCTAAGCGGCAGGCCTAGGCTTTGAGTTCCGCCCCCAGGACCTGTACCAAAAGAAAAACCCCACCAAAAACCACCAATGTAAAAAAAAAAAAAAAATCAAAGGAAAATCTCTGTTGCAATCCAAGTAGGACTGCTACTTCTGAATAAATCCAGAAAAGATCTCGTGGATGCGCCGGATGGCTGGGCCGGCGGCTTAGATTCCCCAGGGCGATGCGCCTCCGAGTGGGGACCTGATCTAGAGGGCACGGGAGCCCCGGAATTCCAGATCTGAGCGGAATCGGGGAGAGATCTGTGTCGGAGGCGTGGACGGGGTTAGGCCCCTCAGCAGGTTTCCGCGGAGATCTTGGACGAGCTGTGAAGGCGATGCCGTCCGGGCCGCAGGGCGCTGGGGTTCGGCCCTCGCTCCGGGCCCCGACCCCCCTGCAGGACCCGGGGAGGCGTGCGCTGTGACTCCGGCCAGGTCGCCGCAGCGACCCCTCTCCTCCCTGCAGACTTCGGGGCGGCCGGCAGACACCGGGCCGGGGTCCCCGAGCCCACCCGCCCCAGGTCCCCAAGGTCGGTGAAGCCGGACACCCCAGCTGCCGGCCCCGATCCGCGTCGGCGGCCAGCGCGTAGCGGCCAGGCCCGCAGGAGGCCCCGCCCGGCCCGGCCCGGCCCGGCCCCGGGGTCAGCGGGCCGCCCCAGGCCTCGCGGCACACCGCAGGACGCCGCACTCACGTGCTTCCCCGGCCCGACCGAGGGCGGGGGACGGGCGGGGCGGACCTGCGTGCCGTGAAGCCACGGAGGGGCGCGGGCCGGGGGCGCAGCATGCCAGTAGGGGCGCACTCACCTGGACATCAGGGCCGCCGGGCCGCCCCTCCCTCCCCGCGGCCCCAGCCTTGGCCTTTGCCCCGCCCCTTCCGGCGGTAGCGGCGCGCGAGAGCGACGGGGGCAGGACACACGAGCACGGCGGCGGCGGCGGCGGCGCAGTGCCCCCTGCTGGACGCTGTGTCTCGGAGGACCGCGCGGAGAGAGGGGCTGGGAGGATTCCCCCACCCAGGGCTGGGGTGTTCCCACGTGGCTCCTGAAAGTGTAGGTTTAAATCCCGGTTGAACTTGTCTTTGAACATCTTTGAAACTGACTATGAACGATGTACGAAACCCGAGAGGACTGAAGACATAAAAGTTTAGCCGGGTGCGGGTGGCTCATGCCTGCGAGCCTACCTACTCTGGAGGCTGAGATCGGAAGCCCATGGCTCAAAGCCAGCCCGGGCAGGACAGTCCCTTAGCCTCTTCTCTCCAAGAAACTACTCATAGCCAGAGGTGGTGCTGTGGCTCTAGTGGTTGAGCGATAGCCTTGAGCAAAAGCAGCTCAGGGACAGCACCCAGGCCAGTAGTTAAGCCCCAGGACCTGTATTACTCCTCAAAAAAATAAAAAATAAAAAAAGTTAACATCCTCTAAGAAATAAAGCCACTTAAAGAGTGACACACACGTGTCCCATGGATGTATGATGCAGTAAATGATTGCATAGCAGAAAAAGCCCGGAAGTTTGGTGAACACAGTGGGCCTCTGTAAGCAACCTGAGAGGCAATTAGATGAAGCAGACACTAAAGGAAGGATTTCTGTGGGTCAGCCTGTGGCATAAAGTTTCATAAATGTTGACATGAATGCTCACAGGCATATATGCTTCTATATGTTCTAATTTCTACTAAATTAGAAATAGCAATTTTGTTTTTTGCTTTCAGAACATTCTCTATTCTGGGCTCTGCACACCAGTCTGACACAGGCACTGATGTTCAGCTTCACCCGATGGCTTCTTGGTGGTACATGTACCACAAGAAACAGCAGTTAGAAAATCACTTCTAGCTGGGCTCCAGTTGCTCACTCCTGTAATCCTAGATACACAGGAGGCTGAAATCTGAAGATCACTTTTCAAAGCCAGTCTGACAGGAAAGTCCATGAGATTCTTTATCTCCAATTAACTACCAGAAAACCAAAGGTAGAGCTGTGGCTCAAAGTGGTAGAGTACTATAGCCTTAGTGAAAGAGCTCAGGGACAGTGCCTAGGCCCTAAGTTCCAGCCCCATGTCTGACATACATACATACATACATAATTGTAAGCCAGTCTCACACCTGTAATCCTAGCTACTCAGGAAGCTGAGATCTGAAGATCATGGTTTGAAGCTAGTCTGAGCAGGAATGTCTGGGAGACTCTTATCTCCAATATGCTACCAAAAACGCCAGAAATGGAACTGTTGCTCAGAGAGTGCCCAGGACTTGAGTTCAAGCCCCAGGACCAGAAAAACAAAAATGTGTTTCTAGCGTTAAAAAGATAACTTCATGTCAGTTCAGTTGAGATTATTGATGTTTGAGGGAATACATAATTACAGGTCATCTCTAGAGTGAAAAGGAGAAGTTTTCACCAGCACAGGTTTTTATTGAAGCATAAGGAACTGTGTTAGGTCCCTCCCAGGACCAGCTGGGGAGCAGAGTCTGCATTTCAAGTGTTGGGGAGTTTTACCGAATTACATTAAACCTCTATGGCACAGTTTATTGGCCTAGATAAAGATTTGCTCTTGTAGTAACTGTTGATGCACTTTCAATTGGAAAGAAGCCTAGCATTAATCCTTAGTTGGGTGGAGTTCTCGAAAACCTACTTTGTGACATTCTGTTATCTAGGTGAACCACTTAAGTATGTCTGAAAGCTTAAGTGCAGTGTTCTCTCAATCTTTTTTTTTTGGGGGGGGGGGTCCTTTCGTGGGCCTGAACTCTGGGCTTGGGCGCTGTCCCTCAGCTCTTCAGCTCAAGGTTAGCGCTCTACCACTTGAGCCACAGCATCACTTCCGGCTTTTTTCTTCTGCTTATGTGGTGCTGAGGAATCGAACCCAGGGCCTCATGCATGCAAGGCAAGCGCTCTACCACTGAACCACCTCCCAGCCCCTCTCTCAGAAATCTTAAGATAACCAAATCCTTTGCATTTTCTCATCGCTTCTGGCTTGTTGTTACCTGTCAGTACAAGGCTAGCCTGGGTAAGATCAAGACACCAGGGTCACCAAAGAAAAAATAAATGCTAGGTAGATGCTTACCAGTCCTGGGGCTTGAACTCAAGGCCTGGGGTACTATCCCTGAGCTTTTATTTTGCTCAAGGACAGCATTCTACCACTTGAGCCACAGCACCACTTCTGGCTTTTTCTGTTTATGTGATACTGAGGAATCGAACCCAGAGCTTCATGCATGCTAGGCAAGCACTCTACCACTAAGCCACACTCCCAGCCCCCTCTTTAATATTTCTTTTTACTTTTTTTTTTTTTTTTTTTGGTCATTGAACTCAGGGCCTGAGCACTATCCCTGAACTTTGCTGCTCAAGGCTAGTGTTCTACCACTTTGAGCAACAGCTTCACGTCCAATCTTCTGGTGGTTAATTGGAGAGAACAGGTTCACAGATTTTCCTGTTGGCTTTGAACTGCAACCCTGGGATCTCAGCTTCCTGAGTCTCTAGGATTATAGGCATGAGCCAACAGCAGCCAGCTTTCATTTACTTCTTTTGGTTTTATTTTGTTGTATTTTTCTAATGTCTTTAGCTGAGTGTTTAGCTAATGTAACTTCCTGGTTTTCTTTCTTCTAACCTTCTAATATAAGACAAGCATTTGAAACTATACATTTCCTGGGCACTGGTGGCATATGTCTGTAATCCTAGCTACTTAGGAGGCTGAGATATGAGGATCATGGTTTGGAGCTAGCCAGGACAAAGCTGAAACTTTCCATCTCTAATTAATCCACCAGGGCTGGAAGTAGAGGAATGGCTCAAGTGGTAGAAGAGAAGCCTTGAACAGAAAAAGATGAACAAGACCAAGAAGCCTCCAAATAGCTTCTTAAGTATTCTGTCAGGAAAGCGGCAGCTTTCTTTATAAATGTACCTTTGGGGCTGGGAGTGTGGCTGAGTAGTAGAGTGCTTGCCTAGCGTGCATGAAGCCTTGGGTTCAATTCCTCAGTAAAGTGAAAAACCTGGAAGTGGTGTTGTGGCTCAAGTGGTAGAGGGCTAGCCTTGAACAAAACAAACTCAGGGACAGTGCCCAGGCTCTGAGTTCAAGCCCCAGGACTGGCAGAAAATAAAATAAAGAAGTGTACCCCTCACTTGTCTTCCACCCAGGCTAAAGGATGAACCAGAAATTAGTGCTCACAGGTAAAATGGAAATGAAAAGTTCTGTGGCTAGAAAGAAGTCTCTTCAGCGCTTTGAACTATGTGGTTTCATGTTTTCTATATGGTCAAGGCTTGAGTCTATAATTTGTATAATTTCCATTCAGTCTCTTGATATTTTACAACTTCTTTTTTCTTAAAATTGTTTTGATAGTACCTGGATTTGAACTCTTGGCCTTACACTCACTCGGCATGCTTACTCTGCCACTTGAGCCATGCTTTTCTCTATTCCACAACCTCTTTTTATTGTTGTTGCTGTTGGTTGTGGGGTTTGAATTCAGGGCCTGGTGCTGTCCCTGGGTTTCTTTTCCTCAAGGCTAGTGCTCTACCACTTTGAGCCACAGCACTACTTCCCCAATTCTGCTGGGTAATTGGAGATAAGAATCTCAAGGACTTTGCTGCCCCAGTTGGCTTTGATCTGTATCTTCAGATCTCAGACTACTGTGTAACTAGGATTATACGTATGTGAGCCACTAGCAACTGGCACTGTTCCACAACTTCTAAGCTTTGTATTTGGGTGATTATTGTCCAGGTATCCAGGGGCTTTTCATTGTTCGCATTGTTACAGTAATCTATAAGATTGAAGGATGACTGCAATAATTCATATATCATGTGGATTTATACAAAGCTGAACCATATAAAAATTGTTGAGGAGTGTGTGTGTGTGTGTGTGTGTGTGTGTGTGCTAGTACTGAGGCTCGGACTTGGCCTCATGCACTCTTGTGGCTTTTTTGCTCAAGGCTGGTCCTCTACCATAGCTCCACTTCACACTTTTTGCTATTGAATGGGAGATAGTCTCATAGACTTTCCTACCCTGGCTGATTTCCAACTGTGAGCTTCAATTCTCAACCTCCTGAGTAGCTGGGATTACAGGTGTGAACCACCATCTTTAAAAATTAAATAATAGCTATTTCATTTGACTCAAATTTATATAATTAGAGTTTACATAGAACCTACCCCTATGTCATGGTTATAAAGACTTCACTTTTTCTAAAGGAAAGAAAAATTGGAGAAGAGTAGAGTAGTTGTATGATACATGAACAAATCCTAAAAATGCAAGACAACTAAGTAAATATAGAACTTTGGATAAGTCGTCAAAGTAAGATCAGAAATGCATCTTTGCTTTACATCTAAACGGAGGATTGCTTGAGCTAACTGTAAGATACTGTCTCATGCATGCAAGGCAAGCACTCTGCCACTGAGCCACCTTCCCAGCCAGATACTGTTTTCTTTTAAAGAAGGGAGGGAAAATGATGGCTCTGGCAGTGGGAGAATGAGGAAACAGGCAGTCACAAAGGACTCAATGAGGGGCTGGGAAGGTGGCTCAGTGGTAGAGCGCTTGCCTTGCATGCATGAAGCCCTGGGTTCAATTCCTCAGCACCACATAAGCAGAAAAAGCCGGAAGTGGCGCTGTGGCTCAAGTGGTAGAGCGCTAGCTTTGAGCTGAAGAGCTGAGGGACAGCGCCCAGGCCCAGAGTTCAGGCCCCATGACCGACAAAAAAAAAAAAAAAAGGACTCAATGAAATCCACTGCCACGCAGTTTTAATTGTCAGGTGTAGAACTGAGACTATGTCTGTCGGTACAATCCAGGATGTGAATGGGGCTAGATGATGTAGAGTGTGAGGTGTAGTGCTGTGAATGCTGTCTGTCCCCAGCACAGCTTTGTTAGTATAGGGAGCAACCACCTCCTCAGGTGTCCAAGCATCT